AATCACACTCGCATGTTTTTAACGCTTCCATATTCGCGTTGCTTTTTAGGCTATAAGCAAAATGTTCTTGACTATGCTTTGGCGAGAACGCCGCAGTAGTTGAGCAAAATGCAGTTTCTCACGAACTCCGGTTGTCGTCTGCTGCTCTATACCCCTAAAAGTGCATAAAAGCAATTGTCGAAGAAATGGTCATAATTTTACTTATGTGGCCATACATCTCCTTGGCGCTAGCTCTTCTGAGTACAAAATCTGGCTTGGAGAAAAAATCAAGCCAAACCTGGAAGGATTACGCCAGCATTAATAGAGTTTTGAATAAATTTCAGCAGAAGGTACCTTCTACTATGACCTAATTCACCGCAGGCATTGTGTGATTTAGCATCAGCCGATCGCGCGAAAATTTCAACCGAACGGTGTAACTATTGAAATATGGAGGCACCGTTATAGTTACAACGGTGACGAAAGCTTTGAAGCCTAGAAGTGAATTTGTTTTCTCAGTCCCAACTACTCTTTGAAATTTCCTTTTTAGTGTCAGTTGAAAGTAGGCATATTCTTGGGTCTTCATAATCCGTTAGGCGGGACTGAAGAAATACCTGTAGCACGAGAGGTAGCGCGCTCGCTGGACGTTTGATCAATTCTTTTGCGATATCCTGCTGATCGACTTTATTACATTCGATTCAGCTGATTGTCATAAAACCATGTCACAGAGTTGATTACACGTTAGGATGGCATAGTAGCAATACGTCGCTTTGGGATGACAAAAAAAGAGCATGAGCCTTGTTAAAGTTTCGCAATACCTTTACTCTTATGTGTTCTTTTGTTAAATTATGGAGCCTTTCAAAAAATTAAGCCATTTTTTTCTATTTTTCAAAAAGCGTGATTTTAATTAACCTCTTTTGAGTAGGTGATTAGTATGCCCATTTGAAATTAAGACTTTCTTATGCAAGAGTTCCCGAACGACAACTTTTGGAAGAATGAAAATATCATAAAACCCTAATACATTTTTCCTTGAACAGTATTTTGAACTTCCCCTCTCTTCTCATCACCT